GAGGGAGGAGGAGTGGCCAGGGTGCAGGCTGCCAGCCCGCGGGGACCCGCTTCTCCTGGTGGAAGGGAGCGTGGGAGGAGGGGGCGCTGCGGGCCGAGCAGGGAGAAGCGCAAAGGCACAGCGAGCTCCGGGAGCTGCCCAACTTTACAGAGCGGGCGGAGGTACAAGCGGAGATGCGGGGCGCAACAGCGGCGCTGGCAGGGAGGAGACAGCTGCACACTTTGGAAAGGGCAGCTACCGCCGGGAGGAGCAGAGGTCGGACACGCAGCGCTTTCGCCCAAGATTTTAGAGCTTGGAAGCAGACCCCTTGCAGACACTTGGAAGGGGCAGGCCTTCCAGGATTCCCTCGGCTGGGCTGGGACAGAGCCGCCTGCCCCGCCCATCCGCGGTGGGAACCAGCTTATTTCAGGGGCCAGCCTCTCCGCATCTGGCATGTCAGTCTCGCAGGGCTGGCCCTAATTTTAACTTCGTGTCCCCAAATTGGAAGACGGCAGAATTCTTAGGACAGCTCAAAAAAACTTCAGAACTTCAGGTGGACTAAGCTGGGTATCTCGGACGTTTCAGCATTAATGGCCCAGTATTGCTAACCCTGAAATCACACACACACACACACACACACACACATTTTTTTTTAAAAGCCGGTGGAATGGCTGGCATGCCTAGGGCTCTGCATTCCCTCTGTCCAGCGAAACGTGGGCATTCCTCCTCTTCACAGAGCCATGCTAGATGACTGACTATTCACTCCAAACTCTTCTATCTTCTATCTCATTGCCACCTCAACATTTTCATTTAGATGCTTCAGACTTTTCTCATACTCAACAGGTCCTGGCACAAATGCCTCATTCCTTCCTAGGCCAGCCCCTTCTGCCATCTCAATTAAAAGAATTGCTTTCCCCTGCCACTTAGAAGACTCAGTCACGCTTGACTGGTCTCTTCCCCGCAACATAATACCAAATCCAGGATTAAAAATACAGCAGGAACTGACCGACTCCATGTCCATAGCTGTCATCCTGGGGTTCCTCAGTGGCCTCCTGACCATGATGTTGTCAGGGCTTACAAGGGAATATATTTTATATAAGACACATAATTTATGGGATTATTTTATAATATTCACCCAAAAAGTCACATGCAGAGGAATGCAAGGGATTTGTCCTCACATCAGAGACCCAAAGAATCCAGCCCAGGGCCTGGATCCCATTACGATGTCCCACACAAGTCCAGCTAAAGGCCCAGAGTCCAAGGCAATGTCTTCTCTGGGTTCAGCCAGTGGCCTAGAGCCCACGGCAATATCCCATGCAAGTCTGTGTTGAGAATCTGCTCCAGAAAGGCCCAAAGACCAGTGGAAGCTAGAAAGCCTGCGCTGGTAGGGTGAAGGATCTGTGCTACCAGACTGAGGGAGCTGCACTGGAACCAGGAAGCAATGCTCAAGGCAAAGAGCAAAGCTCCCCTGATAAGAATAGCAGCCATTCCCAGTGACAGTGAGGACCAGAGCTCCTCGGATGACAACAGCCAAGTTCATAACCGGAAACCAGCCACATCAAGCCTCCCCCGGGAAAATCAACAGCGTATCATCTTCCCCGCAGTTCCCTTTCTATGCCACTGGCCACAATCCTCAGGTGGGTCTTCCACACCCAGAACCACACTGACTTGGTTCAGCTGGGCATTCCAATTTGACCATTAGTTAATCCACCACACATGGTCTGCTTTTCCTGCCTTACCCTCTCCCTCTCCACTCTTAACACAGTAATCAAGGGCATCCTTTTAATACAGAAGTTGGGCCAAGTCACTCATTGGCTCGGGCCCCAACAACTTCCCAAATCAGTTAGCAAAATCCAGAATCGTTACAGTGACTTACCAGGTCCTACGAAACCTTCCACTGACCCCTAATATCTTTGACTTCAACTACCTGGCTTTTTCCCCTCACACAGACTCCTTGGATAGTCCTCAAACATAATCCAGCTGCACTCTCAGCATTTGCACTGTTTCCTCTGCTATAAATGCTTTTCCCCAAGGAGCCACATGCTTAAGGCCTACTGAGGTCTTCACTCTGATGTCATCTTCAAAATTAGAAAACTTAATAGTCTCTTTAATAAGGAAAAAAGTGTGATCCTTCTCTAAAATTTCAATTTTACTAATTTTTACTAATTTTACTAATATTCTGTAAGCAATGAATGAGTCAAATGATCCAAAATGTCTTTAGAGTGTGTGTCAACATGTTTGGCCTCAGGTAGTAGCTACTAAAAATAAACATTTATTGTGTTTACTATTATAAGTGCTTTAGAGAAATAATAATCTCTAATCTTCACAAAAGCTCTGTAGGGTAAATGTGGTTATTACTGCTACAGTTTGGATATGGAATGTCCCCTGAGGGCTGTGTGTTAAAACTTGGTCCCCAGCATTGTGCTACTGGAGGTAGAGGAGGACTGTAAAAGATGGTGCCTAGCAGAAGGTCTTCAGGTCCCTAGAGCATGCTGTTGGAGGGGAGGGTGGGAGCCCAGCATCTCTTTCTCTTTCTTGTATCTTGGCCATAAACTGAGTGGCTTTGTCCCATCACATGCTCCCAGACACTAGGTACTGCCTCCCCACAGTCCAAAAGCAGGAGGGCCAACTGACCAAGGGCTGAACCCTCCAAAACTGTGAGGCCAAAGAAAACAATTTTTTTCTCTAGAAGTTGATTATCTCAAGTATTTGTTACAATAACAAGAAGTTGATAGACACAATCATTCCTATTTAATGAGTGGTGAAACTGAGACACAGAGTTCAGAGACAGCAAGCAGTAGAGACAAGACTGAAATCCAGATCTGCTTTATTCCAAAAGTTTCTCAATCAGCACAGCAACATCCCTTGGCTTATATTCTTTTTGGCTTCTCTCGCACAGATGGTACTAATATCTGATAAATGTAAAGATTCAAAGATAAATATGAATTAGATGTGAAACTTCAAACTATTGTTTTCAAATCCAGTTTCAATCCAGTTTTAGTCACTACCAAACTGGAGCTCCATTTTTCAAGTACCTACAGGGTATTTTAGCGTTTTAGAATTGCCTTAGATTGATGTTGTATGTTCCAAGTTGTAAGAAAATGAAAAGCTTCAAAGCCATAAGGAAATATCCAAAAGATTTAAAATATGATTTAAAACTTGAAGACAACATAGCTTTTGCCACCTATGGAAAACAACATCATTAAAGATTAATACAAACTTAGTCAAAATAAAATTTTGATTTGGTATATAATCCATGACACCAAGCACGTGATCCCTAGCTACTGGTGCAGGTTGGAGTGTCTGCGGGTCAGACTCTTATCTAGAGTTTAGTATGCAGGACAATTTTAGGTGTTCTTGGGGACCATACCCATGAAAGGTAGGAGGAAGAAGCAGGATTGCCCAAGAGAACTCAAGGTAAGATGAATCGTGAGATGTATTCCACAGTAGGCTGAAATGCTCAGACCTTTGTACTGCTGTCCTCATCAGTCACCGGATGTGGCCCATCTTGGGGCATGTGTGATCGCAGGCCTGAGCACTTCCTACGCTAAGGCTGATCCAGAGGGGCTGATGGCTGAAAGCTATTTCACAATGATTTTTCAGCTGGAATGACAAACTCTTCTCTGGGAGTGAAGGGAGGGTGGATTAGGACAGCGCATCAGGGGCCAGCAATGACATTTTGCAGAAAAAGGAAAATGTATTGCCTCCTAAGTCAAGAGGTAGGGAGAGAGCCAAGCAGGGAATGCAGACATTTTATGGATTGCATGTGTCTGCCCACTTCCTTTAGTCACTAATAATGGCTGTGAAACTCCACCATTTAAGAAAATGGAGCCAGGCCCCAGTAAACCAGAATTTTGTCCCCCAACAGGTAGATTAATCAAATGATCAAATAATGCATGTAAAGTACTGGCTTATGGAAAGCACTCAAGATTTTAAGTATTCTCATAGGTTGAATGGCACCCCACCCCAGAGATATGTCCATATCCCCAAACATGTGACTATGACCTATTTGGGGAAAAGGACTATGTGCTTATTTAATTAAGTTAGGCATCTTCTGGATCGCCAGGTAGGCCTTAAATCAATGCAGTTGCCCTCATAAGAGACAGAAGATAGTCACAGGCACAGGAAGAGCACTTGCAAAGATGGAGGATGGACTAGAATGATCAGCTTTAAGCCAAAGAATACCTGAAGCCACTTGAAGCTGGAAAAGGCAGAAAACAGATTCTCCTCTACAGTCCTAGAAGAGCATAGCTCTGCAGATGCCTTGATTCTGAACTTCTGGCCTCCAGAACAGTGAGAGAACAATTTTGTGTTGTGGTAATTTTTTCTGACAGTATGGAAAAATGAATATAAATCACATTATGTATGAAGCAAAAAAGCCAGGCAATTAACATACATTCTCTCATTTAATCCATGCAACATCTCCAGGAGGTAGATACCATTCTTATCTCCAGTCTACATACAAGGAAACAGGCCTAGAAGTGTCCATTGATCTGCTCAAGATCACACACCCAGCCATCAGATAGCCAGAATTGTATCCTAGATGTCCAACTGTCATGGTTATATGCTGCACTACCCATAAAACCTTCTTCTTTACAAAGGCCCTTCTCTGCAAGGGCTGCCTATACCACACACAGGTGAAGTCACCTGCTCTATTTATTGAGACCCACGTGGGTACTCTGCCAGGGCCTGGCCCATCATCAACTAGAGGCTCTGCTTTTTGTTCCATCACTTCCAGCCTGGAGAATTTCTAACTCTTGCTTCTAAACTTCTGGGTCAAGAAGAGGCAGGTGGAGCACCGAGGCTCCTCACAGGAGTGTTAGTGTCACTGTCTATCTGACATCATCTCTCCCAGAAGGCGAAAGCATTAGAGGGAGGGAGCTCATTCGTGCAAAGCTAGGAAGAAATCCAGTGTCCATACTTGTGCCCATGTATGCACTGTGGATGCTTACCCCAGTGCAGAGGCCTTCTTCAGCACCCACTTTCCCTTCCGCTGGCTGCCTCTCCTTTCTGGTCATTGTTACCTGGAGTCATGGCATGAGAAGCCAGCACACATTTCCAGAGCACCCCCTAGGAGCCAGGCACTGTGCTTGGGAATGGAATCGAGGGATGGACAAGACTCTTTATGTGCCTCTGAGATAGGAAATTGACCCATGAGAAGATAATCTCAATAAAATGTGTTGATGAAATAGAAGAAGGGGTATACATGAGAGAAGTAACAGATGAAGTGAGCCAGTACCAGGGAGGCAGTGGGAGTGATGAGCCCTGGAGGGGATTGGAGTGAACCAGCCCGACGAAGGCCATCACTGGTTTGAGCTTTGCCCATCTATCCATTTTTCAAAAGAAGCCCAATATTTGGGTATTTATGAAATAGCTCCTATTTTCAAAAGCTGGCAACAGATTAAAACAGAAGATCATTAAATCCCTGAGAGGGAAGACTAAAACACGAAGATGG